AAGAAGACAAATGTCGCGAGATGTTAACATTTCGTTTAATCTTCTCAGTCACTGACTTAAAACAAACAGGCACATATATAGCACATCGGATGAATCAATTTTGATGAACAAACGTGTACAAGCATACAATGATTACTAAATTTAGAAGTAGAAGGTCAACTCCACGGTAGGTGGATTGCTTGTATCAAAAACTTCTGTGCGCATAGGGTCGGGTGATGTAATCGAATAAGCAGTGCTTCACTAATCGCTAAAAGTTTTGCATTTCGATTACGTAATAGTGGTTTGAACGACGAATTGGGGTCAACTGTGTGTCTTGTTGCCATGAGATGTTTTGCAACAGATGATCCTAGATTTCTTGCCATCACTTGACCATCATTTGTCGTTTGTTCACCAAAATTGATTCATCCGATGTGCTATATATGTGCCTGTTTGTTTTAAGTCAGTGACTGAGAAGATTAAACGAAATGTTAACATCTCGCGACATTTGTCTTCTTTCTGTTTTGATGAGATGACAAAAATACCAATGCTGTTGGTTAGCGGACATATTATCTAGTGTCTCCAATATGAAACACAGGAGACACTTTACGTATTCGCTGTGCATTTCTTGATGCTTTGCTTCCATATCATCTCTTGAACTCCACGTGAGTTCCTCCAAGCGAGTGAGACGCGGTGCAGTAGACGACAGATGGGCATGTGCAATGTGTCTTAACCCGTGAAGTCTACTAATCTGAATTCAAAGAGATAAAAAATGTCCTCCGGATCATTGTCAATTCCCCCATCGGCTTGTCTCAGCGTCACTTACACGCTCGTTCCATTTAACGTTCGCCAAACTACGTTAATGGTCAAAGTCAAAGACTTTTTGATGCTGAACGTCTCTCACGCGCAAAATTAGGATTTCTCTGATCGACCAATCCCCAAGATAACGCCAGTCAAGGAGAGAAACGTTAGTCTCAGGACAACTAATAGGGGGCCAACCGTCTGAGCCATTCAAACGCAATATGGTTCAAACAAGAGTGCCGTGAAGAGAACACGAGCGGCAATCAGTTAATACCTGTTTAGGCAATGGTATTTCTTCGTACGTATTGTGCTATCCCATACCGGCCTCCATCGATAAACTAACCCATACCACTATCGCCTTTGATCCGTGTTTCTATATCAGGGGATTTCGGTAGACGATTACCAGTGCCAATTCGAGTTCCGACTACAATTAAAATTCCTGGTCTGTGTCTATTTCGATTATTATGGTCTCACAACCTTAAAGCGGAACTGAATGCACAGTGGTGCAGTATACGCGCCCTATCAAACACAAGGAAGCGTCACATTGGCACCAAAGGTGTTGCAGTTCTGTGCACGTTGGTCGCGACTAGGAAATGGATAACCAAATTTTGATTGTTTGCCCTACTGTCCGTATTAACCTAACAATAATCTGTCCATTTCACCTGCAGGCATTATTGGCAGTCCTTTCGGAAGAAAGGCAAAAGAAAACAGACGTTTGTGTTGAACGGGTGCCTTATTGCGATTATAAACTATTTTTTCAGGTGTAGTTGCTTCTTTTTCGTTCGTATCGACAAGACGATGAGTTAGAAAGCAAAACGCCATGGGTAACTAACTGAGTGATGTACTGCGTACTCCGATTAGTTTTCAGCAAAACTACCGACAACACCCAGAGCCCATATGAGCCAAAATACGATAGTGTCGATATCACCAGTGCATTACGAAGGACTAAGACAATATCATCGGTGTATTTCCAAATCCAAGGCTGTTGTGTAGAGAACCCAAATAGACTAAGGTTAAGAAAACATTGAGCAGATGTACGAATACCAATGCTTAAGACACTCAGTGATATTATATCACTCGATGTTTTAAATCAAGAGTTACACGGATTTCGAGGTCCCCGAGAAGTCTTATGTGAACTCCATGACCGAGTGTTGTTTGGGGTTTTCATACCGTTACGCCAGGTCTTAGTTTGACCGTCTTTGACGTTCCAACTACTACTATTTTTTTCCGGCAAACATCCCACATCGAGACAGTCTATTTGGTAACTTATGTAACACATGGAGCACTTACTCTAGAGGGCGACTGTATGTATTTACGTAAAACTCTGCATTTTACCACACCATTACTCATCTGACTGTCCCGCGAGACTAGTCGAATGTGATATGGAAAGCGATGTCCAAACACCGATAAGCTAGTCTTTTCCTTTTCGCCGAAACGGCTCGGTTACTGCACTATACAGTCGCACGAGCATAACTACTGCAGCATACACTCGATTCTTTACACTCGGATGTCGCGGTAGCACTACAGCTAGCTCGAGTTGGAAAACGCCAACCCAGCCATCTGTATGTATGCCAACGCTGTTTCCGTGATGTGATCGCCAGGTGATAGGTAACCATAAAAGAATCAAAAGTTCTCTACTTTTTCCTCAGACCTGCCCAGTCAGGGTTAGGTTGAGAAGTGAACCGAAGCACTTCGGCAGCAACCTCTGAGGCTGAATCATGATCATCACACAACACAGTGAACTTCACTGATCGCTGTCAAACACAATGCGCACAATGTAAGTTAGAATGTGTAAGGCAGAAGGGGATTCGATTTATATCTGGAGAAGAGGAACCACAAAAACACAAACTATCCGTACATATAAATCTGTTCGAGCATTCTGGTTTAATAAGAAGTATTAACTAGAACGTCACTTATGTTGGTTCGCTGACAAAAGAATTGTTTGAAACCTGCAGCGATAGTTGTCAGCGATGTCGTACGTCGGCATTCCAGTTCAATTTCGTTGTAGACGAATTCATTGAGTGGCCTACAAAATGGCGACACTGAAGGGGAAAACAGCTGTGCGATTTAAAATAGGGTGATCATATCGTTTGTCTGTTCGAATGTATGGAGGATGCACAAAGCGCACTTGACAGACTGACGATTTTCGTAACTCCATTTTGTATGTACTTTCAGTTTCAGTTTGAACAACCATTACCATGTTCGGTATGCGTTTTGCACCTTCAAAGTTGCCACAAGATTGGGCTGGCCAACATCCAAGGATATAACCGAGTCGTTGAATCAACAGGGGTTCAACCGGGGAAGTTAGTTAAAAATTCTGATTCCGAACCAACCTACAGGAGGTGTACGAATCACACAGCGGCCATGAGCTTGAATAGGCACCTTGGATGTTTAATCCCGTCTAGAGGGTGTATGAACCGATAAACTAGACTCCTAGCCCCCCCCCCTCCGCCCAATTTATTGCAGTTTTCACAAATACCGTTTCCATGCCTTACGGGTCAGGTGTGGACTAACCAAAGGATCCGGTTGTGAATCCCCCCTACCCAAGAAAACTCACGTGGTTTGGTTTGAGTAACCTGGCAGTATTCCGCCCAAAGGTTAACCATGGAACATTTCCGTTTTTGTAAAGGTCACGGAAAGGTGACTGAATCGAGAGGAAGGTCATTTACAGGCGATACTGATAAAATGTTAACAACACGAAGACACGAACACAATAAAGGATAATGCACCGGATGGCACGTTTGAAATGGCATTAGTGTAACTTACTGTCAGCTTTCTTAGGGCGGGTACCAGCTCGTTTGGCAGCTGAAATGGAATATCCTGTTCCAATTTCTGCAACTGTTTTTTATGTTCTTTTCTCGCTTTCAGAGCTTTTTTCCGTAGGATTCGAGACTGATTTTCACGCTTTATTTCCTTCAATAATTTGGGAATACTGAGAACAAAAGTGAGCGACTCGTTTCTTTTGGACGAATAACCCGAAACTTACTTTTCCAATTCCACGGCCATACGCTTTTCCACGTTCACTTTCTTGGTTTTGCGTGGTGTGGCAACTGTTTCTGCTTCCTGATCAGGGAGAGTTGCTGTTTGTGACTGTGAGTTAGCCGAAAGGTTTTGGATGAAACTTTTAGCATCTTCAATCGGGTCAGCAGTCTGAGTCGAGGAGAAATAAGAGGGTTACGGTAAGCGAGAGAAAAGATTAACTATACCGCTCGATTTGTGCCTAGTCCCTGCAGGAACCGATCGATTTTTGCCTCTTGTCGGCGTTTTTGCAATTCCGTTTTGGCCAAAGCCGACAACATCGTGAAGTGATCCTCCAATGTGGGATTGTACGATTGACCAGGAGTTGGAAGAATTATCTCTGATTTTTCAACCTTCGTGGTGGTGGTGGTGGTGGCTGTAGTGTTTGGAGCTGCGAGAAATAATGACCATGAGGGATCCACACAACATACCGTTGGCCCACAAATCGACATTAGTCCGAACGGGCCCATGTAAGGTGTACTTTTTCATACGAGGCTGACCATCGCTAAATGACGGTATTTCAGGAAACGCCTTCGCAGCGTTCTTGTCTCCCTTGATTATGGGTCCTAGTTGAACGTAGGTCATTCACAAAAATCAACTCACGCTTCTTTTTTTCCACTTTCCCCAAAAGAAACCCACCCTTAGAACTGCAAATAGAAATGAGTGAACGTAGGAGATTGAATGAATCTTACATTTGACGTTGCTTTCGAGCCACGTCCAATTTAGTCTCCAAGTCAGTATAGCAACGCTTCCATTGTTTTTTCTTATTCTTGCCCAACTTCTTCATTACGAAAGGGGCTGAAATTGTACATGAGAAAAATGTTGCATTTAAATTGAATCGTAAGTGGTTCGAAGACCTTTTGGCGATATGAATGATAGGCTGACTCCGTAAGATGAATACACTTCTGTGGACTGAAGGGAACCTACGTGATTTTTTTAGTGAACAGGTGTACACCTCAATGCGCAAAATAAATGGTAATATTTAACTTAAATCGTATCCATAATCCATTTACCTGTCTTTCTGTTGTCGTTTTACTTAGTACCCGCTACTTTGTGCTGTGCTATCCTTCAACCAGGAAGAAGTGTGTGTGTGGTTCGTACACCTTATGTTCATCGGTTTAGAATCAGGGTTTTTATCCAACTCCCTTAAGTGAACTGTCAGCGGTTCACCAATCAGCCTTTTCGTTTCTTTACTTTGGTGGAAAAACAACTACGCCACTGGAAGGCAGTGAGTAGGGTTTATTCAGAAGAGATGTTTCGTTGTATAGAAGCATTTCGCGAGACACAAGGGAAGGGTGACCAGTGACAACCCAAGATACCCACAACGACCATACTGAGACATTCCAAGGCATTATACCTTTTGAGATCATTTGCTTTCCGGACAACCTAAAATTCAGATGGAGGACTGATATTCATTGGAAGCATTTGCCCAGTAGAAGCAGTTCGTGGGAGATCTAGTGTGAAAGAAACCAGTTGAACTGTGACCTGAAATGTTCTGTCCACTGCTCGGCATTGCTGAATGTGAATCCGTGTGCCATCAGACTCGTTCATTACTTCACTTAAGATTTACTTTTATTAAGCCCGTACTCTTAATTTAACGAAAAAGGTTGTGACTGCTGCCGATAGCCACAACCTCAGCAGGGTAACTGAGGACGAGAAAATCCATCGCGTTTAGTCTACTCGTACGTCGGAGTCCAATGTTGTTAAGACGAACGTTTAAATAGTTTGCTTAATCACGGTCCAGTGCTCACCGAGTTCTTCAGTTGGCCGCTTAGCTGGAAGGTGCTCATAGAGTTCTGCATTGAAGGCCGATTTGCAATTGGTGCCGACACAGTATTGTAGGCATCCGTCTCTGGTGACTATGCTGCGGTGATTTACCGACCGTAGGGAGACTCTGGCTCTAAGTACAGCACGGTCCGTGTCCGCCGGTGTTGACCAGTGAGTGGCAGTCGTCAGTGGATCTTTGTCAGCGATGATCAATGGCGATGTGGTCGATTTGAGTTCATCAATGTGAGGAGGTTGGTGGTTTCCATGTAAGACGGTGTTGTTTCCTGTGTGAGAAGTTGGTGCTTGATAGGAACAATCCTTGGTCAGCACAGAGTTGAAGTAGGCGATCTCCGTTGTCCGTCCAGTTGGCTGTCTGATCCGTCCAGCATTGAAATCTCCAGAGACTNCCACGATGTCCGTTGACCGACACCTTGGAGCAGTTGAGAAATACCTAGCCTACAAAGCAACGGGGCGTAGATCCAGCGCGGGAGAGAGACCGAAGCATCCATGTGGGAGCTTTTAGAAACCTGTCACGCAAGGTCTTTGGGTTTCGGTTTAATGTGTTTTTCGCTGGTGCTTTGATTATCGGTCGGCTGTTAGGGATTAACCCTTGTCCTCATGCACCCAATGAGACAGGCTTAACGTCCNTGCACTTTGGTGCGCCAGTTTTAGTTGTTCATTTGTGGACAGCGCTGTGGCGTGGCGAGTGTATCCCGCCACTAACTATGACCACTGCCCCTTGTCGAAATCTATTGTTCAGCAAGGTTTTCCAGAAGAGGCGAATGAACCAAACACTGTCCACCGCCTCATCTGGAACATCGCTGCTGCCTTGCAGTCTGCACTTGGTTTAGCAAAGGTTAGAGTGCATCCTCGAACAAGGCCTAATCCGGACCGGGCGACCGAGTAGTACAACAGCCCACAACGCATACATTGGTGAGTTTCTCGAATCTTACATCTCTCCAGTCTCAAGTTTCTTTACTCAGCGAAAATCATTCCACACCGTACACACATTCATGTCTCCCCAGCCCTCCAACATTTCACCTTCACCTTCTTCCGACGATCGCACTAACAGTGGCGCCTCGGATGGAAACTCTACCGCTGTTCTCTCGTGTCATACCTCAACTAACGCCCAAGTCTCACCGAATCCTCCTCCAGCTCTTCTTCGGCCACGTTGCCCATTCAATCTTGCCACATATAATGTGTGCACTCTGATGCGTATAGGACAACAGGCATGTTTAAATCGTACCCTCAAGACCCTAGCCATTGATGTGTGTTGTATCCAAGAGACTCGCATTCAAGACTCTAGCTCCATTATCCGATTGATGTCCCCATCAAACCCATCAGTGAAGTTTCACTTACGCCTCTCTGGAGACCCTGAGGCTACGGCTTCTGGTCTGGCTGGTGTTGGTGTGGCTCTCAGTGAGAGAGCGAAAGCTGCGCTCCTGGAATGGTTCCGAGTCGGCAGTAGGCTGTGCGCAGTGAGACTTAGAGGTTCGTGCAAAGTAAATCCCCGTCGCCCCAACAGACGAAATCTGTTTGTCGTGTCGGCGTAGGCCCCAACGAACTGTAGCCCAGATGCAGTAAAAGATTAATTTTATTATAACCTACACGACCTCTTGCGTAAAGCGAGTCGGGCTGATATCGTGATTTTAGCAGAAGATATGAATACTAGAGAAGGCCGACTGACTTCGGGTAAGGTGCATCTGGGTGGTCCTTTTGGAAGTAGAAGATACCCGTCGACTAGAAATTTTTGATTATCGGTGTTTACGCAGTTTAGCCCATGTTGGATGGAGCGAATGGGTTAGTATTGTGGAGGTAAGCCGTCGTGTGTTTGGGAGTCTGTCAGGCATAAACCTGCTAGCATACTGAATTCAGATTACTAGGCTTCGGTGGCTAGGGCATGTATTGCGTATGCCCAGCCATCGTCGGCCGCACCGCGCTTTATTCGCTGTAGCTAATCCGGGCTGGAGGAAACCACATGGAGGTCAACAGATGACGTAGAGACGAGGCATGAAGAAATGCACAGAGCCATTAGGTAGAGTAGGTGTCTCTCACCTTCCAGGTTGGGGTCCGAAAGACTCCACAACTGGTTAATTGGAGACATTGAAGGATATGGCAGCGAACCGGCAGCAGTGGCGTTCTTGTTGTCGTTTCTTATCAGGTCAGAATGCTTGAAACTGTATGTATGCAGAGTTCGATTGCGTACCGTGTGTTGACCATAGTGGCTCACCTTCTTCTTCCTTCCTCAAAATAGATCCAACCCCTGTCTACCTCAAGTTTTACCACTAACCTTGTTGTCGTGTATTTATTATTGCCTTTTCTGTTGCATCGATTGTTGTTATTCTGGGTACATATTCCAACATTTTGCTTATTCCGTTTTAGCTCTCATATCTCGTTTTTGGTCGATTAAAGCCTATCATTAAGGGGTTGTCTTCTGGCTTGTCTGCCGACTAAACGTGTGATTAGATACACTACAAGTTTCTC